TGCTTTGTTCCTGCATTGGTATTTCCTGCCAAATGGACATTTGGTTTACAATGGAATGGCCAGCTTCATCTACACTACAATGAAGCATCCTGACGCCAAAGTTTTCACACCTGCCCAGATGCCCTTCTTTGAGTAAGGTATTAGATTTCAAAATTGGCCACTCCTTATAGGTAACCACCCCTCCCTACATGCAACCAATAGGATTGTTTTTGGGACGGCCACCACCCACCTTCTGGATCCCGTGATAAAAGGAGAGAACCAGTCACATGGTCTCTCTTTCTCTCCTACTTGATCAACAAGCATCTCCCCCGCAACAACCCCTGTCTGCTTTTTACTCCTCTTAAGTCCCACTTGCTATCCCCAAACCCTGGCTTCTACTTTGATCTCTTGATCTGCAGTCAAGAGACCCTCACGTTCTGGCTGAATCTGGTCCTGTGTGAATTCCCTTAGTTTTCCATTTCTTCCCCTCCGTTCTTCATTGGAACAACCAAAGCTGCGAAGACAGATAAGTATTGCCCATCAGCACCCTCACCTGCTAATGCAAATGTGCTTATTTTAATACTGTATTTCTAAGGAACTTGATTGAATGTGTGAGTGCATCAGTATTGTTTGTATGAGATTTATTCTTTAAGTAAAAGACATCTATTTTAACAACAACAGCCTCGTTATCCTTCTCTGGTAACCCCTGGTGGGAACAGAACCTTGGTATAGTTGGCAAGGACCCATTTATAAATTGCCAATTGCTGTAAATAAAGCAATTTGGCTAACAGCATGGAGCAGAAGAAGAAGAGACTGGATTTATACCCCGCCCTTCACAACCCAAAGGTGTCTCAGAGCGGCTTACAAACTCCTTCCCCTTCCCCTCCCCACAACAGACACCCTGTGAGGTAGGTGGGACTGAGAGAGCTCTTGACAGAAACTGCTCTTTTTTTCAAGAACAGCTCTTATCAGAACTACGGCTTGCCCAAGGTCATCCAGCCAGGTGCAAGTGGAGGAGTGGGGAATCAAACCCGGTTCTCCCAGATTAGAGTCCGCGCACTTAACCACTACACCACTGCTGGTTCTCTGGGGTCACTG